AAACTCCTTTTCCAAGTACAAAGATGAAAGGAATAACAGTTTTAAACCATTTTATGATTTTTATGTGGCACTTTCTCAGTTACCATTGGAAGGAGCTAGTGGATTTTTCAATCTGACTTCAGCCTGGCAGTGTCTTTCTGGCTCCTTTTCCTATTCCACACTCATTAATTAAGTATCTAACCCCTAATTGGACAAATGTTGGTCTGTGCTATGATCTGGTTGTAATCAGTGGTGTCTTCATAGCAGTAATGCAGCAGAATACTGTAATGGATTTCAGGTTGCAGCCTTGGCAGGCTTCTGGAATTCCTTACTTCATTTTTACATATCCTGCTGTTGGAGTTTTGCCTGAAAAGGAGGAAGTACAAACCTTATTCCAGGATTCATTCCATGTGCTGAGCTGACCTCTGTGAGGCACCTTCCTCTGAGCTGAGGCAAAGTGTTACTTAGATAAAAGGAGGCAGGCCCGTGACTCCCTTTGAGCCAGCACCACCTAAACCCAGCTCAACTCACACAACCCTCAGATTATTTCTTTCCTTACCTGCACCATTCCCTGCTGCAAACTGGGAGCAGGAATTTCCCACTTGTCCAACTCCATTACTCAAGAAGGATATTTAAAATGTCTCCCTCGCTGTGCCCACAGAGAAGGTGATGGCCCAGGCCCCTGGAAGGAGCAGCAGGGACAGAGAGAAATCCTTTGTTTCCTTCTGCTAAACCTGCTCTTGAACTCATGGTTTGGGGACAAGCAAATGCCAGCAGGCAGGGATCACGCTGCTCCTGAATGAGGCTTCCTGCTGGGACTGTGCTGGATGAAAGCAGCCCCAAACCCCTGCTGGAGCACAGCAGGTGCTTTATGAAATGAACTTTGATCCCTCCAGATCCTGTCATTAACCTGACAGAGCAGTGACATGTGTATTGTTAGGGAGGAGGAGGTGTGGCAAGGGAAGGTGCTTTCCAAAAATACTCCCTGATAACGGTGCCTGAGCAAATGGAGCTTCCAGATAAAGCCCTCGCTCCTGGCTTTGGGGTTTGCCCTCGCAGTGGGAGCACTCAGGATGTTTGGATGCTCTGGATTTCACTGAACTTGGCTGTTTTCTCAGCACTTGAGATCTCCAGTCTCAGTGAAGGGGCTTTCAGGCATCGCTCACTCCTGTGCAGAGGAGGAGGGGGAGAAAACCTGACCTTATCCAACAAAAATGTTTTGACAGCGCTCGGCTTTGCGGAAACATGGGAAGGGTTTTGTTTGTTTTCCAGTGTGCAACAAAAAGACTTTTCAAAACCTCAAAACTTGTGACAAAATGGAATATTCACCCGCAGCCCACGGTATGGCTTTGAACTCAGACATGGTTCTGGAGAAACAGCAGTGCTCAAACCCCACAGTTTCTCCCCATTTTGAAACCTCTTGTCTTCCCTTGACCTCAAGCAAGACTTCAGAGGCTCTGCTGTTAAAGACTGAGGAAAACCAGCCTCAGCCTGACATAAAATCTGTCAAACACTGCCTGTTCATTAAGTGGAAGGAGGGACAGATCAGAGAGGAGATGAGGAGCCCAAGGAGGACTCGTAAAAAGTGGCCTCACAAGAGGGGACATGGATGTTGCTGCTGGTGGTGTCAGGATTGCAGAAGGAGGTTAAACCAGTTCAGTGACAATCCCTGCATGGATGGGGTGGATTCAGCACTCCCAAGTCACTGCTGGTCCTGGGCAGGAAGGACTCAGGTGTCACTGAGGAGGACAGGGGGCTGGAGCCATGGCTGCTGTGCTGGATGTGCAGGGAGGAGGCTGCAGAGCCCTCACCCTGCAGCATCAGAAGATCTTACAGGGTGGGAAAAGCAGAACCAGCTCTGGCTGCAAAATTCTGGCAATTTGGGCTGTTTTCTGCTCACCTGCCTGAGCAGCCACCCCTGTTCTGTGGGTGGAGCAGGGAGTGAGGCTTCCAGTGGTGCAGGGAGATGCTGGGATGTGTTATGGGCCAGGCAGGGCACTGCAGTGGTGCTGTGAGGTTTGGCAAAAGAAATCCTCCATGGTTCTGCAAGCAGCACAGCCTGTGTGCAGCTGGGGAGTGCAACCAGGGGACCTGCCCAGAGCTCCTGGGATTCAGTAGGAAGGAGGATTCCTTTCTGCAGATTGGTCAGTGCTTTCCAGACATAGGTGATCCATCCTGCATTTGGCTGCAGGGCCCAGAGGTGAAGCTTTTATCAGGAGAGCCATTTCATTAAGTCAAGTGAGACTGCAATCAGCTCTTCAAAGGCAGCTTTCCCTCACTGATACTCCATCACTCTTAACAACCATCTCTTTCCCATCCGTTTTTGGCTGCTCCAAAACAGTTTGGCACTTTCCTGGGCTGCCAAAGGATGCTGCTGCCTGTTGGAGGGAAAAAATCTACAACAGGGCAGAAATCAGTGCCCTATCATGGGGTCCCCACACTCCTCTGCTGCTCCAGACCTCGATGTTGATGTAACAAACACGGCTGCAGATCCATCTCTGGCTCTGTGGAAGCACTATTGGCCCAGATTCCTCCTGGCTCTCTGCTGGATGGTGTTTCCCTCATTCTGTTGCATGGATATGGACACTTAATTATTTTAAGTGATTATTTTTTAACAGCTGGCTGGCAGCAGAGGAAAGGCCACAGACTTTCCACTGAGGCTCTACTTGTAATTATGTGTCATAGGGGATAAGGGAGTTTGGCAGAACCTGGCTCCTGCCCTTGTAGCTCAGAGTGGCATTTTGGGCAGCTGGGGCTTGCAGGATTAAGCCCAGCTTATCAGTACATTATCTGAGGCCCCCTGGGAGCTGTGCCATCCAGTGTCAATGCTTGTGCCTGGAAACCTGGCCAGTGATGGTCCTGCAGCTCGTGGAGAGGCAGCCCTGGGAGGAGGAGCTGGCAGAGAGCCTCTGCAGCAGGAATGTGGGGTTCTCATCCCTCCCAGGTCACACCTGGCAAGGCTGGAGCTGGGACAGACCTGTGCCAGCCCTGCCCAGGCCTCATCAGGAGCAGGGGCACATTTCACCCAGCATCTCTGTGGCAGGAGTAGCTGATGGAGGTGAATCAGGCTCTGCTGCTGCCTCTTCTTCTCTGCTCCTGCCTTACTCTTTCACTCAGAGGCTTTGCTGGTGTTTAGGATGAGCTTTCCCTCCCCTAATCCTGTCTGACATGTTGGAGTTGAACTCTGGGATCCATCCAGAGAGCCCAGAGCAATTCAGGGATGCCCAGCACAAACCCTTCCCTCCGGCCACGCCAGAGCTGAGCTTTTTGGGAGCACTGAGCGAGGCAAATGCACTTCATCCCCAGGAACTGCACTCCCCAAAGCCTGGCTCTGCTGAGCCCAGTGCCAGCCAGAGGCCAGACCCACTTATCACTGCTCCAGATGGTTCCTGTTCCCAGGACTGTCCATTTGGGGAGGGGGAGAGCAAATAAATAAACCTCTCCCCAATCTGCCTTTGAATGGAAAGTAAAACACTGCGGGACATCCCTCCCCCTGCTCCTCCCATGTGCGTAAAACCAACTGGAAAAGCTCCCTGGTGCTGGGAAAAGTAAGGCCCTTGTGTTTTGATTTTGGTAGATAATCTTGTGCCGTGGAGGTCAGCCGGGCAAGGCGAAGAGGTCGTGAGGAGAAGCAAAACAGCCACGCTTGGGACAGCTGCTGGGAGGTGCTCTGGAAAAGCCAGGAGTTTCGAAGAACAGATCTGTGAGTCCCCAAGATGAGAAAAAAATATATATAAATTAAGGTTGGGCCAGGATTTCTCCACTGTGTAAGTGAAGACCTGGCCCTGTTAGCCCCTGTTTTAATTTGTGTCTGGGTGGGGTGTCAATGTACTGTATGCACATGGCTCTATTTAACAAACTCTATGTTAGAACCACAGTGTAAATGCTAATTTAATCAGATTTGTATGTAACCAGAATTTTATATACCCATTTGTCCCTTTTCTAATTTATGCTGTTTTATGTGTATAAATGTACTTATAGGAAGAGATATTAAACTTATGTCTTTGTACAGTATATACAGACTATTTTAACCCAGGCAAAGTATTTTTGCAGTGATATTAGAGAAGATGCCATTTGCTATGTTGAAAGACAGAATAAAGTCACAGTCTGTCCCTGGCAGCTCCTGCTGTTCTTTTTGGGGCCCTAAAGGTGTCAGTCTGGATTAAGTTTGGGGAGTAGGAGGGGTTTTGGGGGCTGGGGTGAGGGCAGCACACCTGGGTGAATCCACACAAGTCCTTACAGCCAAAGAAAGATCTGGGTGTGTAAATCAGAATCCAGAATGGTTTCAGAACACCCTCACTCAGCTGCTGAGAAATCCCAGTGGTTTCTCAGGTTTCAGTTGCGCCTTCATTTCTGCCTTTGCAGCTCCCCAGGCCTTTGCACCTGCCCAGGAATGGCCCCACAGGAGCTGTTCCACTCCATTTGTGCCTGCACTGGGATCAGCAGGAGCAGCTCCTCTGCCTGGAGCCCTGATCTGCTGGGAGACCCCAGGGCAGGAGCCCTGACCTCCCAAACCCCCCAGTGACACCCTTGTGTTTGCTGAGAGCTGCTGGGGAGCAGCCCCAGTTCTCTCCCAACCCCTTGGATGTCCCAGCACAGTCCTGAGCTCCCCCTGGCAGGACAAGCTGAGCATCCTCCCCACGTGGATGGCAGCCCCCAGGGACAGCCCAGGTTCCTCCTTCCTTCCTTCCTTCCTTCCTTCCTCCCTCCCTCCCTCCCTCCCTCCCTCTCTCCCTCCCTCCCTCCCTCCCTCAGCAGCTGTGTCCCACCATGACCCCTCTGAAGCAGCTCAGCAGGCAGCTGAGGGCCAGGTGCTCCCTTTCCCAGAGCACTCCCCTCGTGCCAGGAGTGTTACCCCTGCAGCCACCAAACTTGCAGGGTCTGTGCAGCAGAAGGGCTGATTGCCCCAGGCTGTGAGCCCCATCCTCCCCTGCCTTGTGCTCCCACAGCTGCTGCTGTAAGGTTTCTGTTTAGGAGAAAACCAAGCAAATGCCCCAGAGGAATCCTCTCCCAAAGCCAACTCTCACAGAAGGTAGTTTTAATCCAAGAGCTGTCTCTTTACTACAAAGAGCTTTCCTATAAAGAGCCCTACAAAAAGCCATCCACATGCCCAAGGTCCAAAGGGGACCCTCTGTGTGCTCCCCCAAACCCACACCCAGCTCACCTCCCTCCTCCCAGCATGGAGCAAAGGGAACCACAGCCTCCATCCCTCTCCATGGCCACCTCCAGCCTGCAATTCACAGACACCACCCTTGGGAAAGGAGCAGCCTGAGCAATTATTTGCTTAAAGACAAAGCCAGGGTGTTCTGCTTTCCACATGGGGGTCCCGTGTGGCTCCGTGGGCCCCGTGGCACCGGCAGCCCACGTGCTGCACGTTGCAGCAGGGAATTGCAGCTGGGTCCTGGGAATAATCTGCAACTGAGACATTGTCTGCTGCAATGTCCTGCAGGGCTTGGGCATAAGCCCTGCTGATGGCAGGCAGCACTGCCTGGTACTCCCTGGAGGCCACATCCAGAGGCTCCTGCTCCTGGATGTCACGGTCCAGGTTGAAAATGAGGGGTGGGTGGTGCTGCTGTGCCGGCCCAGTGCTGCCATCACAGGCCATGGCCCCTCCTAGGGAGGAAATGGGAGAAAAACCCTGGAGTCACAGAGGTGCAGGGATCACCTCTGTATTCCTCACCCACCCAGGAAGGCCATTCCCACCCCATCCCAGCTTAGAGCGTTCCTGAGACCCACCCCAGGCTGCAGCACCACCCTGCAGACACAGCTCAGCACATCCTTGGGTCTGCTCTTGGCTGAATTAACCTGAGCTGCTTTTCACCTGCATCTGCAGGGATCTAAGAATTCCAGAAGGCTTTTCCTAGACTTTAGACCCTCTGGTAGGGATGCAGTACCTGTGGTGTAGAAGGCCTTGTACTGGGCCAGCCGCAGCGCCTCGACCTCACCCGCCTTCCCCGCTGCGCCGCTGTTGGGGTGCAGCAGAACCTGCAGGGAAGACAGGACAGTTCCTGTCAGCCCAAGGCAGGGAAAACCTGCTCCATGAAATCCACTCCCTCCCCACATGAGCCACATCCCACCCCTGAACACATTCACAGCCATCATTCAGGCCCTGGACTCTGAGCAACAGCAGAGCCGTGAGTGCTGAAGGTGCTTTGCCTTCTCCTGATTCTGTCTCACAGCAAGAAAATGAGTAAATAATTCTGAAGGGTAGGTGAGCATTTAGCCAACACTGAACCCACCACATGAATTCATTCTTTGGCTGGGAAATCTCAAATTGGTGAACAGAAATCACTACACGAAATTGGTGTTTCTGCCCAGTTTCAATCTGAAACCACCACAGTGGGATAATGGCAGAAGGGCCCCAGGGAACACCAACATCTCCCTTGGACTTTCCTGGCCCTGCAGGACCCTCTGAATTTACCTCCCAGTTCTATGGCAGGAAAGGGATCACAAAGGCTCTGGGGCTTTCAGCAGAGCAGGGCAGATTATCATAAAATCCCAGAATGGTTTGGGTTGGAAGGGACCCCAAAGCCCATGGGCAGGGACACCTTCCACTGTCCTGGGTTACTCCAAGCTCCATCCAACCTGGCCCTGGACACTTCCAGGGATGGGGCAGCCACAGCTTCTTGGGATAACTTGTGCCAGGGCCACCCTTAAAATTAAGAATTTCTTCCTAACATCCAATCTAAATCTCCCATCTTTTACTCTGAAACCATTCCCCCTTGTCCTGTCACTAAATTATTTGGGAACCAGGGTGGTGCCAGGTGCACCCAGCACCTCTCTGGGTGCTCACAGCTCAGCCAGCAGTGGGGACATCCAAGGGAGCCGAGCCCCAGGCTGGAGCCAGCAGCCAGCCACGAGCTGAGGGTGAGCTCATGGAGCAGAGGGGAAGGTGAGGTGCTGGAACATCACTCCCACATCCCTCCCGTCCGTCTGACTCACCCCGCTGTGCGAGGGCTCCCTTCCCTGACAACAGCCAGGAACGGGGTGAGCAGCGAGCGAGGGAGGGAGGGGTGGCTCAAATCTCTCCCTTTTGGTATTTAGGACACTTGATCCACACAGGATGGCTGCTCTGGCACTGGGGAGCGAGGAGACAAGTGAGCTGGACACTCCAGCAGCTCCTCTCTCCGATAACATCTGCCGCGGAGCCAGTGCCTTCGCTGAGGGATGAGTCACTTGAGGTTTCCTCCCTGGGATTTGAGTTTAAAAGTGATTCAAGAAATTTCCACTGTGCTAAAAAATTAGAAACATCTGCTGGAGTTGTAGGCAGCTGCAGTGCCAAGTTTAGTAACAGCACTCACAGCTGATGAGTGCAGCAGTGCCTGAGCAGGTGCCCGGCACGGAGCCCTGGCCCTCAGGGAGCACCCTGGGCACCCTGAGGTGTGCATCCCACCCTGCCTGGCACAGGGAACTCCAGGCACCCCGAGGTGTGCATCCCACCCTGCCTGGCACAGGGAATTCCAGGCACCCCGAGGTGTGCATCCCACCCTGCCTGGCACAGGGAACTCCAGGCACCCTGGGCACCCCGAGGTGTCCATCCCACCCTGCCTGGCACAGGGAACTCCAGGCACCCTGGGCACCCCGAGGTGTCCATCCCACCCTGCCTGGCACAGGGAATTCCAGGCACCCTGGGCACCCCGAGGTGTCCATCCCACCCTGCCTGGCACAGGGAATTCCAGGCACCCCGAGGTGTGCATCCCATCCTGCCTGGCACAGGGAATTCCAGGCACCCTGGGCACCCCGAGGTGTGCATCCCACCCTGCCTGGCACAGGGAATTCCAGGCACCCCGAGATGTCAATCCACACTGCCTGGTACAGAGAATTCCTGTCCATCCACACTGCCTGGTACAGAGAGTTCCAGGCACCTTGGGCACCCCAAAATGTCCATCCCACATTGCCTGGCAGAGTATTCCAGGCACCCTGGGCACCCCGAGGTGTCCATCTCATGTTGTCCAGAATGGAGCACCAATGGGCACCCCAAATTGTCCATCTACACTGCCTGGCAGAGCATTCCAGGCACCCTGGGCACCCCAAAATGTCCATCCCACATTGCCTGGCAGAGCATTCCAGGCACCCCAAGATGTCCATTCCACACTGCCTGGCAGAGCATTCCAGGGATCCCAGGCACCCAGAGGTGTCCATCCCACAGTGCCTGGTCTGGATGTAGCCACTGTCTCACATGGGACTGGTTGGAAACTCATGCAAGAAATGCCAGGATTCAGGGTAGGGGGTGATCTCCAAATGCTCACACTTTCTTTTATTGCTCTCTATTGTAAGGCAAATTATTTGTTTAAAAATCATCTTTTGTAATTTGGTTGTATCTTTTTGTGGTTTTGGGGAAGTAAGAAGGGTGTGAAGTGGGAGAGGTGATGCAGTGTGAGCCTGGTGCAAGGAGGAAGCTCTGCTGCAGAGTGCCCTTCTGCTGACACTCCTCGGGCAGCATAAAAGAGCTCCAAAGCAGGAATCAGCAAATATTCAAGGCCCTGTGAAGCCAAGGGACCAGGAACTGAACCAATTAATCTGTCTGCAGCCTTAAAGCTTTGCCTACACCTTTAACAGCACAGCTGGGATGCTGCCAAGGGCACTCAAATCTCCCTTCCTACAAACAACCACGTTCCTAAACCTCTTAAAACCCCACACTTAGAAAATCTGTTATAATTTACTGCATAATTAAGGAGCTTGTTTTGATTCAAGAAACATTCCCAGATCTGGAACTCTTCCATTAATCCATGGCTATTATTTTAATAAATAAAAAATAGGGGAGCAGAGGGGTGGGAAAGCCTTTTCTCTGCTGAAAATTCATTGCTTGAACTTGGTGCTCTGGGCTATTCACATTGAGCTGATGGACAGAGGGATTTACAGCCCCTGGTACCCTCGGTGCTCCTTGGAGGATGTGGTTTGTTTTTCCTGCCAACAGCCCTTGCTCTCAGCAGGACCTCGGTGTCACCCCAGCCCCATTCCCGCCTGTGCCAGCAGCGAGCACAGGCTGGGACACTGGGACAGCCCACACTGGGAGCTCCAGCCACCCCAATTAGGAAAGTGTGGAAATTGGGCATTGGAGTGAGCAAGGAGCTGCTTTCAGGAGGATTTGTGTCAAGGGAAACCCTGCACGGGGTCACTGTCGGCCGCTCACGGGCAGGGGCTGGGAGTGAGGAGCCAGGAGAGAAGGGAGGGAGGGGGACAGGAGGGGGACAGGAGGGGGACAGGAGGGGGACAGGAGGGGAACAGGGCTGCTGCCCCCACCCCACGGCGCTGTGGGGCCCTCCAAGGGCAGCCCACCCCATGGCAGGGTGATCCCAGCCCTCGGGGGGAATCCACACAGGAATGAATGGCTGCACCCTGACACCCAGAAAACCACTGCTCCCAGCAAACCAACCATCATTCCCAAAAAAACACCACTACCAGCAAACCATGGCTCCCAGCAAACCATCATTCCCAAAAAAACACCACTACCAGCAAACCATTGCTCCCAGCAAACCATCATTCCCAAAAAAACCACCACTACCACCAAACCATTGTTCCCAGCAAACCATTGCTCCCAGCAAACCATCATTCCCAAAAAAACACCACTACCAGCAAACCATCATTCCCAAAAACCACCATTCCCAAAAAACCATCACTCCCAGTAAACCATTGTTCCCAGCAAACCATCATTCCCAGCAAACCATTGCTCCCAGCAAACCATCATTCCCAAAAAAACACCACTATCAGCAAACCATTGCTCCCAGCAAACCATTGCTCCCAGGAAAACCATCATTCCCAAGAAAACACCACTCTCAGCAAACCATTGCTCCCAGGAAAACCTCATTGCCTGTAAACCATCATTCCCAAAGAACCACCACTATCAGCAAACCATCATTCCCAAAGAACCACCACTGTCACCAAGCCATCATTCCCCAAAAAACACCATTCCCAGCAAACCATCACTCCCAGCAAACCATTGCTCCCAGGAAAGCCTCCTTCCCAGTAAACCATTGCTCCCAGCAAATCATCATTCCCATCAAACCACTGCTCCCAGGAAAATCTCATTCCCAGCAAACCATCATTCCCAGCAAACCATTGCTCCCAGCAGCCCCCAGTGCCCTGCTCCCAGCAGGGTTAATCTGAGGAGCAGAGCAGAGCAGAGCAGAGCAGAGCGTGCTGGCCACATCCCATCCCTTTCCCTGCTCCATCTCCCAGTTCAGCAGAGGGTTCCATAAATACAAAGCAAATACCAAACCCCTGATGGACACCGAAACAAATCCAGGATCCCGCTGGGAGCTGGCTCACAGTGCTTGCAGAGGGTGTACTTTAAAAGCAAAATCAGGATTTATCCATGGGGGCTGCTATTAAAGCCACTTTGCTTTTTTTTTTTTTAAATCCCATGAACTCCGAGACAAACGTGTGGTCACCCTGCTTGTCCTGCAAACTCTGTTTTTTGGGGTGAAAGGAGCTGTGGGATATGGAGTGGGCTGTCCCAGTGGAACACTTTTTGTGTTTGTTTGTGTTTGATCTGTTTGACCAAGACACGAGTTTGTTGTGTCGTGATGTGGTGCAATAAATAAATGGGCATAAGCAGGTCTGAAGCGCTGGGAGCTGCCCTTGCCCACACTGCTGCTCCCTTTGGGGTCAGGCAGGTGCTGTGCTGGGCACTGCAGCCTGAGCACCCCCAGTTGGGGTCCCTGGGGTCACAGACACAGCTCTGAGGCACAGGAAGGTGCCAAGCTGCAGGCACAGCCATTTCCACCTCAGGTTTGGGAACAAAGCACAAAACAATCTTCATTAACCCAAAGCCCTTTTGGGCCACTGAGTGTCCCTGCAGGGCTGATCCAATCCCATCATCCCATGGGGAGATGCTCCGCCCAGGGGAGGAGCCAAGCATTCCTACCTGGATCCAATCTGAGCTTTGGGACAGCACAGCAGCCTTTGCCCAGTGCATTGCCAGAGGAGCAGCTTCTGCTGCCCTGCATGGCCAGAGGGAGCCCAGGCCCATCTCCAGCAGCCCTGGAGCTGCAGAGGAAAACTCCCCCCTTGTGCAGGATCCCTGCTCCAGCAGAGCCACAGCTGGCACTGCAGGAGGGCTGAGCCCCCATGGGATGGGGCTGTGCCACCCCCCTGACACACAGGGGACAGGGCATGGTCTGACCCTGGCAGGGTTTGTGTTCTTGTTTTTGTACTATTACATTTGTATTTTTAATTTCCCTAATAAAGAACTGTTATTCCTGCTCCCACATCTTTGCTGGAGAGCCCCTTAATTTCAAAATTATAATAATTGGGAGGGAGAGGGTTTGCATTTTCCATTTCAAGGAAGTGGAAATTTCCATTTCTGCCTTCCTCAGCTGACACCTGGCTGTTCAAACCAAGGCACCACTCACCTGTTTTACCTCCTGTCAGGAGGGGGATGGCACGGGGGGTGTCTCTGCCTTACCTTGTGCCCCACATCTGACGAGCCAAAGAGAACTGGGGACACATCCAAGCCATCAAAGCGCCTGTTTGGGGGCAGTGCTGCCCCAGCCAGGGCCACCAGCGTGGGGAAGATGTCCAGGATGCTGGGGAAAGAGGAACAGTCACCAGAGCGAGGAGTGAGGATCCCTGGAGGGTCTCCCCAACCTCACCTGTGCCCCACATCCCTCCCAAGAGAGCTGAAAAGGCTGAACCCAGCTCTGGCCCTGGCTTCACAGCCCTGCCACCCCCAGATTCAGCCAGGATGTGCCTCTCCCTGGGGCAGGGGCAGCAGGGCACCGATGCCTGGGCAGTAGGAAGGCAGCAGCTCAGTCACCCTCTGCAGAAAGTGCCAGCCAGGGGTTTCCAGGCCAGTGCCAGCAGCTCCTGGTGCCCAGGAAATGCAGAGTGGCTGTTCCAGGGCACAGCAGGAGCTGCCAGGATGGAACAGCCCCCTCAGCCTCCCCAGTGCCAGCCCCAGCCTGAGCACCCAGGGCTCCCCTCGGTCCCTCCAGGGGCACAGGGACATGGGGAAGGTGACCCAAAGTCCCTCTGGCTCCCTGGGCATGCAGAGAGGGGCAGTCCCAGCTTTGTCACCTGCTGCCTGTGCCCTGGGACGGGACTGTCCCCACCTGGCACATCCTGAGGCGTGAGGAGCTGCATGGGGTGGGATGGGGATCCCCCAGCCCTTCACAGCCTGGGCTCCCCCTCTTCTGCCCACGTGTCCCAGAGGGGTCCAGACTCAACTCCAGTGGGATGGGAACGTCCTGCTCCCAGCCCCCATGTCCAATCCTCACCCTCCACACCCTGTGGGGCACAGCTTTCTGTCCCCCAGTGCCACCAACAGCATCTGTCCCTCACAGATGCAGTCACAGGGTGACCCCAGACCTCTAAAAGGAACCACCCACACCAGGGTGGGACAGTGGCCAAGTGACACATCTCAGCTGTGCCCTGGGGACCAGGCTGTGACAGCGACAGCTGGCACTGCTGCCAGGGCTCAGCCCAGCACCTCTGGCTACAAAACCCCGTGCCAGCAGCTCAGGGGGCTTGGCTGGGACAAGGAAATTGCTACAGGAGGCAAAAGCACCGGGAATTGGGGTCACCAGGGTGCTGCCACTGTGGCCTTGTCACCATGGCCATGCCACCACCACGGTCCTGCCACTGTCACCACGTTCCTGCCACTGTCACCATGGCCCTGCCACTGTCACCACGGTCCTGCCACTGTCACCACGGTCCTGCCACCACCACGCTCCTGCCCCTGGGTGCCTCCTGCCTGGGCTGTGGTGGCAGCTGAGTGAGCAGAGAGAGGAAAGAGCCCTGGGCTCAGCAGCCCCTGCTCTCCCACTGAAGGAGGTTTCATTCAGCTGCTAAGAGACAGAGAGAACAAATAAGAACAAACATTGCTGGGAGCCAGGAGGCGCCCAGCAAATCCTGGCTCTGCCCTGAAACCCCTGCAGGCACCTTGCTGGGGGCACAGCAGCTGCCCCAGAACAGCAGCATCACCTGGGCAGCCTGGCCCTGGTGCCAGGGGTGCCCAGCACACCCAGGATCCAGCTCAGTGCTGGGTGTGGATGGTGCCAGGCAGCCCTGCCCTGGTGGATGGGACCTCTGGGAAGCAAAACTGGGCTGGGAGAGCAACATGACTGAGGGCAGGGGTGCTCCCCAGCCATGGGCAGGTGTAACCCATGGACAAAAGCAGGAAAAATAGGATTTTGGTCAAAGCTGGCATCAAAGCAAAGGCACCAGTGGGCACATCCTGGCACCTGCAACTGAGGGAAAGAGAAAGCCACGCTGCCAACCCCTGCCCTGGCAAGAGAGATCTGACACATGAAGCCACTCCAGCATCCTGGTGCCACCTGAACACCAGGAAAAGGGAAAAGGGCCTGGCAGTGCCCAGGGACAGCAGCTCCTGCCTGTGGGACAATGGGCATCCTGATCCCCTGGGCACCAAGGAGCACAGAACCCTGCCCTGCCATGGTGCTGGGCACCACGGGGCACCAAGGGGCACAGAGCCCTGCCCTGCCATGGTGCTGGGCACTCTGGGCACCAAGGGGCACAGAGCCCTGCCCTGCCATGGTGCTGGGCACCAAGGGGCACAGAGCCCTGCCCTGCCATGGTGCTGGGCACCAAGGGGCACCAAGGGGCACAGAGCCCTGCCCTGCCATGGTGCTGGGCACCAAGGGGCACAGAGCCCTGCCCTGCAATGGTGCTGGGCACCAAGGGCACCAAGGGGCACAGAACCCTGCCCTGCCATGGTGCTGGGCACCAAGGGCACCAAGGGGCACAGAGCCCTGCCCTGCCATGGTGCTGGGCACCAAGGGGCACAGAGCCCTGCCCTGCCATGGTGCTGGGCACCCTGGGCACCAAGGGGCACAGAACCCTGGCCTGCCTGGCCTGCAGCAGCTCTGCCCACACCCCCAGCCCAGCCCAGCCCAGCCCAGCCCAGCCCAGCCCAGGATGGTGCAATCTCCTCCCTCAGCACCCTCCTGACCTAATTCTTCCCTGCCCTACTTCGGGTTGGGGCAGGGAAGGGCAGGAGCACAGCGGGTGGCTCTGACCATAATTAGCCGTAATTAAGAAGAGCAGACGAGGCAGTTTTGAGGCAGTTCTGTGCAGAGCCCAGCGTGCAGGTGCTGGTCTGGGGTGAGGCATCAGCGTTCCTGGGCTGGCTGCAGCTCCCTGGCCCCGGGGCAGGCTCACCCTGCCTCACCCCTGTGCTCACAGGTCCTGAGCAGCTCCGGCGGCCTCTGTGCCCCTGCCAGGTGTTTCCATAACCCCAGGGGAGGAGGAGATCCCTGCAGATGGGAGAGGCCCTGCCCTGCCCAGCCCTGGCTCTCCCCGGGGATCCCTCAGGGCTCCCAGCCCCTCCTGCTTCACTCCCTCCCCATCCCCTGGGGGGCTTCAATGTCCCTGTGGGGCTGTCCCCGAGGGGGCAGAGGCACAGAGAGAAGCCACCAGTCCTGTGAGCACCTCCGTGTCCCTCTGTGTCCCTCCACACTCCCTGTCCCACCTCAGGCCAGGGCTGGTGACACTTTCCTGAGCTTGACCCATCCCTCTCACCCCCAGGCTGGTTCTGTGCTGCTGCCAAAGAGGGGGTGCCCCCTCCTGATGCCAGAGCACCATCCTGCACAGCTGGAATGGCCCCATGGCAGAGCACCATCCTGCACAGCTGGCATGGCCCCATGGCAGTGCCAGAGCACCACCCTGCACAGCTGGAATGGGTCTGTGTCAGTGCCAGGGCACCATCCTGCACAGCTGGCATGGCCCTGTGTCAGTGCCAGAGCACCATCCTGCACAGCTGGCATGGCCCCATGGCAGAGCACCATCCTGCACAGCTGGCATGGCCCCGTGGCAGTGCCAGGGCACCACCCTGCACAGCTGGCATGGCTCTGTGTCAGTGCCAGGGCACCACCCTGCACAGCTGGAATGGCTCTGTGTCAGTGCCAGGGCACCACCCTGCACAGCTGGCATGGCCATGTATCAGTGCCAGCCTCTGCTGGGGGGGACAGAAGTGACTCCTGTTTCTCCTGTGACTCCTGTGACTCCCACAGAGCCGCTCCCCAAAGCACCTGGAGTGCTGCACCTGCCTCTGCTGCATTTCCAGATTCCCAGCTGTCCAACCTGCCAGACTGGAGCTGGGAAAGGCAGGAGATAAGATCTCTGAGGAGATAATCAGAATTCCTGGGCTTGGAGGCAGGGCCAGGGGGATGGGACAGGCACTGATCCTGCACATGCTGCCCCAGCTGCCCGAGGGGGTGGCAGCTCTGCCCCAGAGCCCAGGGATGATTTGGGGGTGAGGCCATGGGGTGCTACGTGCTCCCCATCCCCTCCCCCAGACACCAGTGACTCAGTTATGGCTCAGACCTTCCCCTGCCTGCAAACACCCAGCTCCCAGAGCTGCCCTGGGGCTGTGGAACGAGTGAGTGTCTCCAGCTCATCCCAGGGACCTTGGGAACACCCAGCACTGCCCCAGGGCCCACCAGTCAGGACCTGCTCCCAGCAGCTGGGACATTCTTTCCCAGCACCCAGCAACCCCTCAGCCCCACCACCCTGTGTGCCTCAGGGATGAACGGGGACAGGGCATCCCAAGATCCAACAACCCCCCAGCCCCCCCAGCCTGACCCCAGCACTGTGGGGACCCATCAGGGATGAACAGGGACAGGGCATCCCAATTCCCAACAACCCCAAACCCCCCCAGCACTGTGGGGACCCATCAGGGATGAACAGGGACAGGATATCCCAATTCCCAACAACCCCAAACCCCCCCAGCACTGTGGGGACCCATCAGGGATGAACAGGGACAGGGCATCCCAATTCCCAGTAACCCCCCAGCCCCACCACTCTGTGATTCAGGGATGAAAGGGGACAGGACATCCCAATGTCCAGTAACCCCAAACTCCCCCAGCACTGTGGGGACTCATCAGGGATGAATGGGGACAGGACATCCCAACACCCACCAACCCCAAACTCCCCCAGCCTGACTCCCAGCATCATGAAGATCCATCAGGGATGAAAGGGGACAGGATATCCCAATTCCCAGTAACCCCCAAACCCTCCCAGTGTAACCCCAGCCCCATGGGGACAGGACATCCCAATTCCCAATAACCCCCCCAGCCCCACCACCCTGTGTGCCTCAGGGATGAAAGGGGACAGGGCATCCCAATTCCCAGTGACCCCAGCACCGTGGGGACCCATCAGGGGTGCAGAGGGACATTCCCCCCGCCCTGCTGCCCAGGAGGGCTGTGAGGATGGGTGCAGCTGGCACACGGAGGGGTGCAGGTGCTGCAGGCAGAGGGGCAGTGCAGACCCTCCCCTTGCCCTCCTGCAGGGACTCCTCTCCTCACAACCGCACCCTCCTCCGCAGAAAGGCATTCACAGACCGCAGAGCCGTCCCCTGCTCCGTGCTGGGCAGGGAGAACATAATCATCATCATCACCATCATCATCATCATCATCATCATCATCATCATCACCATCATCATCATCATCACCATCATCATCATCACCATCACCATCATCATCGTCTGTTAATTACCGGCAGCCCTCGGCCACCGCGGCCAGCAGCGCACGGAGCCCGGTGGTGGCTGCGAGCCCCAGCCCTCCAGCCT